AATAGTTACTGATAGTTGTGATGGAAACTTCTTTATCGTATTCAGCCTTGAGTTTCATCCGTAGAAACCGTAGTGTTATAGTCAGCAGTGGGTTACGTTTAATTTAAAAGACGCTTTCTGCTCAATTTGCTAGTAGTCATGAGGTGATTTGTTTTGAAAACTGGAATGTGACCAAATGAATAACTACGGTGGTTAAAACAGTGATGTATAATACATTTGCGTTTGCATTTAGGTCCTAGCAAATGGCATGCAAACGTTCAATCAATAGTAATGAAGAGAGCAGAAATCAGCTTCCACCCGCAAATTGGAGAATTCAAATATTGTTTCACTAAACAACTGAATTTTTTTTATTACACACCTAGGTGTGTTGAACAGCAGACGGGGTAAACTCCATAGTCACAAGGACCTGTTGTTCAGTGGATGAAATCGGCAACCTAAGCCCCGGAACTTGGAGTGGTGAACCACATAAGGCTCCGATAGGTTAGGCGTGGTATTGAACCGGACGAGAGCAGAGCTGCCTACCACCAAAGTCGGGTGGCGGTGGCGGTGGCGGGGTTCGAACCCCGGACCATAGGGTCCAAAGCACGCCGGTGACAGCGACTAAACCACTACACCACCACCACCCAATTAAGAATAGCGAGACACCTTGTTGTTTTAGAGCGTGATTTGTTTCTGCGAACGCGGTTAGGATTATTGTTTTCAAAGAATCATGTTAGTTTATTGTTTCCCATAAACTCCCGCAAGTGTACTTCTCACGTAATCGCCCTACCACAACGTTTATGAGCTAGAGGTATTTGGTGAAATACCCATTTTCCCTAGGAGATTCATGGCTTGACATATCCAAGCAAGATAAAAGCTAAAATTATGTCATAATCTGACTGAGGTGCCGCCACACGGATTATTCAATTTTATTTTTCCGTGTTTTCAATACGTGAATAATGACAAACGCATGATAGTGATTTCCGTTGGTACTGGTCGCTGTTACTCGTAGGGCTCAATACACAGCACTGAACTATTGCCATGGTATTTCGTTATCCGATGCATATGTGCAGAATACAGTTGCTGAAGCGAGCGATCTTTTAGGCTTCTCTGAGTACACTTTAGGGCGTAATCCATGTTGCCACTGTTCGAATTAGTTCACCATCTTCACATCTACGCACTGCTACAGTTGGCGTTACCACCTTTTCGTGTTGCCTGCCTATCGGAATAAATTGTACACAATTGCCACTCAACACGCTAATGTGTCTGAACGCAAATAGTCTCCGACTCTCAGCCACATCTGAATGGGATACGAGTTTAGGCCAGGTGTCTTTGTTCATTCACCCAATTCCTTCATCCATCCTGGTCTTAGTTCAGTGCGAATAAATTATCCGGGTGAGAGGTCCTAGAAGCCATGCATGTTTGGCCATCTTTATCAAGAATGAGGTGAAATGAATTCAAATAGCTATGATGTTCTGCTTTCGTAGGAAAATGTGCACTTAACAAGTCGAAGCTGGTCGAGAGTAAACGTTTTCGAATCCGTAGATCATCGATAGCATGATTATTTAGCCTCAAATATCCAACGGGTACATTATCAATGCTCAAATTAGATTATTGAAATATGTCGTCTTGCCATTTCGCTGATGAAATTCGGCAGCATGCGGCGGTAAACGTTCGGTTGAGGAATGGCTTCCATAATTAAATTCGTTGTACACAGTGTCATGGTGATACAAAGTTGACTGTAAAGTTGAAAATCAAATCAAATGTGGTGATATTTTTCCAACTTGTGACTCATTTGGCCCAACTGCAAGATGAAGGTTTGAATGTATACTAAAGCTGCCCTTCTGGTTCTTTTTCTCTTGGGCGCAGTGACAGGGTCGTTGCAGATTAGACACGATGCGTTTCAACATCATCATCTACACCACTAGACAACAATCTGATGCCGCAAACGGATATGTAATGTCTAGGTTATGTCTATAGTTTATGGTGGTCACTGACAACCGAGCACCTGATCTCCGTAAATTGCTTTGTTTGGGTGTTTCCGAGCTCATCCTCAAACAGACTTCTTCGTCCTGCGATACTGAGGAACCGAGAAGTTAGTTTGAAGGGACCATTGGTTAGCCAATCTACGAGCAAGCATGAGAGTATGAAAATCCCAAAGACTCCGTCATATAAATTGCATTAGGTTTTTTCTCGCTTATGACCAATCGATGGGGGAAGACAGTGATCAATACGGCTGAAAGTTATGAACACTGGANTTCTGGCAGTTCCACAAGTTCGACCCAAATCTAGTTCGTCTTTATTTTGAATCTCCATTCAGATAAATATATAAATCTTTTTTTTTAAAAAAGATAATTTTACCGTTCTATCAAATGAATAACCAAAAGATCTCTGCCAGAATCGACACATGAGAAAACAAGACTGCTGGTCATTTAACCTAAACAGCACTTAATTTCCTGCGGAACAGAAAGATTCCTATTGTTGGCTTACATTCAATCATTTCAGTCAAACATTCCTGACTAGTAACCCTGGTCTTCCTTTTCATTTTTACACCAAGTGAGAATAATCTTTGACAGCGAATCATCAATCGATCTTTCTGGTGTTGGCTTCTCTTGATGGTCGGCAGCCTGTTTGTACGCCGCGCTCAATCTATGGTCTTGTTCGCTTAGAGTTGGGCGCGTGTTATTCTAGTGCTTACCACTGATGAGGACGCTGTTGTTCTGAATGGTAACAGTCGGCCGCCGTGAATGATACCTTTCCCGTTCTTTTCCGAATGAATGTCTTGTTCTGCTTGACGAAGTGGATTCCTTCCAGCACAGATGTTTGACATAATTGGTTTCTTGCTTTCCAGTTCATTTTCGCTTGCTTTTCAAACTCCGAGTTTTGTTTCTAAAGTAACCGGAAGAACAGTACTAAGGGATACCGTAAAAATGTGTATTAAGCCAATGCCTTGTCCCACAATCCATACTGGCGCATTCCTCGCTCGTCTTGTGTTCCGGTGGCTTCTGCTCGGCGGAAATTGAAACCGAATAAAAATAATTCGAGCAATGATTCATCAGACATGCAGTTTGGTTACATGTGACCAGGGCTATCTGAGTGAATAACAACTTGCATTTGTTAGTTATGCATAAGACTGATTTATTGGTTTGTCTAACGCGGAACTAAACACACTGGTCAAAATTCTGTAGGTATTCATGAATGTCAATATTTGTACCAGACTAGTGACACCAGTAGCTGATTTGTGAACAATGGAAACTCGAACATGAATGTCTTCATCAACGCTTGCCATCGAAGGAGGCAAACAGTGAAAACATATTCAACACGTACCATGACTGCGAGCTTTTCGCGTTCCATATCAGTTCTTTCCGATTCCGGTGGACTGGGAACAAAAATGTTCAAGAACAGGCAGTCCTCAGACATGGGAGTGTTGGGCTGCCACATACGAGCAGCTGCGGAATCCTGAAAAGGAACGGAAATAAGGTAAAGGTTGTCTAGGAAGGACGAAACAATGAGTAAGCCATCTCTTTAAGAGGTTATCTATCTGTCTGTTTATCTATCTATCTGTCTATCTATCCATCTATGTCCATATGTGTAGGTATACACACACATGGTATCAAACTCTTTCATGTTCTTAGGACATTCATTTACTTACGCGTCGGGACTAAGTTACATTTTGCTTTGATTTGTCGAATGGTGGGCAACATATTATGTTGTAATGCATGTGATTTTCTGATAGTGCTTGTGCAGGGGCATGAATACTTTTAAGTGAGGTAACCCCTGATTGTAATGACCCCTGGAAGAATGTACCATTAAAGTGACATGTGCAGGCTTTGTTCGATTTCAGCAGTTCCTTACAAGGTAGAAAGAAACAAAATGATCTGCATTGTCCTTGAAATATAAAGACAGTTGGCATACTTCGCACACGACAAAGTCAAAGTTTATTATGGGAATAACTTACAAGCTCGTGCTTCTCTTGTCCCATAGGATATTTACACAGATGAATCATTACACGTCGAAAAAGGAGTCACATAGAGATCCGGGTAGGAGATAATAGAGAATGTAGGCTACAGTGAATTTCCTTTTGCTTTTGATGGTGTACGAATGTGAGGTGTGCCAAAGTTTCATTGATTCTCTGCTTGAAAGATTCAATAGTGGGTGCACAAACGACATGAGATGGAAGGGCGTTCCAAGAATTGCATACTCTGACTGCAAAAGACTGGCGCTGGCATTCCAATCGACATTTTGGAACCAGTAGCTTGAAACGGTATCCCCTTATAAGTACATTGTTCGATAACATGAGCAGCGATCGACACGGATGGTTTGGATTCTGCAGTATTTGTGTGTGGAACAATCGAACACAGCATTATGACCACAAAGAGTAGGCATGTCTCTCACGCACGAGAATACTCGTAATGCGTATTTTCCGACTGTCATCGTTCACCATTTCTCTCTCTCTCGGAGAAAGAGAGAGGAAGCTCAAAGTGCACATCTTGACCTCATTATTACATCACACCAGAATGGAATGGATGCATCAGCATATCAGCATCAGCAATGGGTGATGTTGGTAGAGTCCATTTTCTATGTNACAGTGAATTTCCTTTTGCTTTTGATGGTGTACGAATGTGAGGTGTGCCAAAGTTTCATTGATTCTCTGCTTGAAAGATTCAATAGTGGGTGCACAAACGACATGAGATGGAAGGGCGTTCCAAGAATTGCATACTCTGACTGCAAAAGACTGGCGCTGGCATTCCAATCGACATTTTGGAACCAGTAGCTTGAAACGGTATCCCCTTATAAGTACATTGTTCGATAACATGAGCAGCGATCGACACGGATGGTTTGGATTCTGCAGTATTTAATACGTCAAAATCAATTCCCCCCGAGTTCGGCGATACTGAGCAGAATGTAGTACAAATAATCGTAATCTCTCCTCAGGTAATGCAATCCCTTGACCATCTTGGTGGCCATCATTTGTGGACGCTCAAGCATCTTGCGATCATGTTGCAACCATGGACTCCAAACTTGGATGGCGTACTCTGTGTAGGGTGGAATGTACGCCGATAGCAAACGAGGAAATAGTGATGATTCGAAGCGGCCGAAGACTCACCGATGTAAGCCGACATTCTTCATAGCAGCAGACGAGGACTTAACACAATTGATGGAGCAGCTTAAATCCTTTTGAACAACAATATATAAGTTCTTTTAACTGGATGTGTGTGGTAGCTGCTGATCCCCGAGAAAATACGAGAATTTTTGCTTGTGGCGTAGGGATAGAACTTTGCATTTAGAAACATTAAATTCAATGTCGTTCTCCTTAGACCATTGACAAGCTGCGTTGAGTTATTCCTGAAGTGTTAGAGAGCACTTGGGTTCTGTTTCTGTGTTCCAGATTTTGGCGTCGTCTGCAAACAGTATTGTTTTTGGGCCCAACACTTTCGGTAGGTCATTTATGAAGGTGAGGAACAGGCGGGGACCGAGTACGGACCCTTGTGGAACACCGCGAGTGGCTTTGATGGATCCAGATGTGGAATCAGAAACACGAACTGATATGTTCCGTTTTTCGAAGAATGCTTTAATCCAATCAAACGCGATATCCCGAACGCCATAATTGTAGAGCTTTTGCAGCAAAATTTTGTGATTCACTCTATCAAATGCTTTCGAGAAATCGAGATAAATCACATCCACCGCATCCCATTCATCGACTGTACTGATCCATTCATTTCGAACAAGAAGCAGGTTGGTGGAGTAGGATCGCTTTTGCCTAGACCCGTGTTGAGCTGTCGAAAGAATGTTGTATCTTTCGAGGTGTTTCATCAGAGAATCTGCCACAATTGACTCCATGACTTTCGATAACACCGGAAGCAGGGTTACAGGTCGGTAGTTAGCGGGGTCACTACGACTACCATCTTTGTATATGGACGAAATGACTCCTTGTTTTTACGATTCGGGGAGTGTTGCTTGGTCGAACATTCGTTGAAACAGAATAGCTAGCGGTTCGGATATATGTGTCTGCCGAAAAGATCAGAGATTTCGGGTGTATGTTGTCCGCACCTGGGGTTGCATTTTTTCGCAAAGCCATTATTTTCGCTTTGACGTTTTCAACAGTAAATGAAATGTAGGTGAGTGAAGGATGTGGAAGATGATGCAACCGCGGGGGGGGGGGG